CAAATATATACCTATCACTAAAAATCTGTACTGGAATCAAGAAATATGTCAGAAAATATTAAGGATCTCCAAATTATGCTTAACTACATTCACGAAGTAGGAGAGGAAATGGGTATTAAAATAAACTTACAAAATTTTTAATCTGTAACGCACATCCAAATGCAGAGTTTTAATTAAATGGAGTCCAAATTGAAAAAGATTAGAAACTTACTTCTTTGGGAACTATCATAAAGAATCGATATAATACAAATGACTAAAACAACTTTTATGAAAATGAAGACATTTTTTTTACCGCATCAACCCCTAGGGTTATGGGCGGGGTGGTATATGTTTATTTTAGAAAAGTTACATTAGTATGTTATTAAAATTTGCATAACAGTTTTGAAGAATACAAAAATAAATACAAAATTATGTTATGTTACAGTTTGTTATACAGTTGACAATTTTTGATAAATTTTATTGTATCAACTGATATCTTCTGTCATATAGGTGGTCCAATGTATTCCACTGTAAGAATGGAGCTAAAGTTAAATCACTGATAGATAAGTCTATGGAGGAAAATGTGCCATTATGTTCCTTGAATCTAGTAGGTGTTCCTGTGTTTAGCAAAACTAGTTGTATGTTATTAATTGCTTCTAATAATATTCGTCCATTTTTATCTGTTTTTTTTTGGATCCCCATGCGATGTTTTGACAGTTTGTGTCACCCAAAATTAATTTTGGAGATGGAATTTGTTTAATTACATTTTGAAGTTCTAATAGAGTAGTTTCGTCAGGATGTGGTAAATATACGTTGCATATATTGATTTTAAAACGATGTATTACCGAAACTGCTACTGCTTCCAGATTCACATATAACGGAATTTCTTTGGATTGGATAGTTGAATGTACAAAAATTCCGACTCTACCACTGGATATTTGCTGTACTGCTCGATTTTTTGTATAGGCCGTATAATTTTTTAGTTTTGTTTGATTTTTGGAAAGGCGAGTTTCTTGTAGACATATTATTAGTGGTGACAGTTCATTGATTAGCATTTTAATGTTTTCAATATGGCTATAATAGCCATTCAAGTTTCATTGAAGAATGAATTTAATTGGACTATTGAGATAAGTCAATAGTCGCTTTCTTCAGTGAGGGAAGATTCATATGTTGGATTTATTTTCTTTATACCTAATTCTTGTGATATTATTTTTCATGCGTCTATCATTTAATTTTGAGTGAACCATTTTTAATAAGGTATATAAGCCGTCAAAATCTTCTGTATAGTTTTTAGCTGTGACTTCAGGAAATTTTGATCCCATTGCGTTTATAACGAAGTCGCATAATTCAGAGAAATTTAGCGTATATGAAGGAGATGATGTCATTAAAATGTTTTCAATTGATTTTACCGTGGCTTCGACATCTAAAGCCTTTTTCTTCTTTTTTGGTGCGGATTTTTTTGGAGTTATAAAAGTTTCGTTTAGGTTTTTAGTTTCCGAGATTTCAGGAGAGGTTGAAATTTGCCTTTTTGCTTGATTGGATGTTCTAGTAATATTGCTGTTAGCTGTAGATGAAGGTATATTGTGTACTATAAGCGAATCGTTTGTCGTTGGGATATCTGCAGAAATAGGGTTGGAACAGTTAGTTGTATCATCTGAAATATTTTTTGCTGAATTATTCTGATTTACTTCCATGGGTTCGAGTTCTGAGGTGTATGTTTGTATCACTTGAGATGGATCTTTAAGTGTTTTTGTACCAGTTGATGTAGATGTGCAGTTTTCATCTTTGTGGCCAGTAGTATTGCATCTAGAGCAATTTAAACCATCTAGGGATAGGAAGATTCTATAAGGAGTGTTGTCATAGGTTATTAAGATTGTATTTGGAATTGGTTTGGTGATTATCGGAGAGATAAATATTTGCCGCCTAAAGCTTAAGACATGACCATACTCAGATTCGGGCATGCCAACTTTTAAAAACGTTCATTTGGAGACTGCAGTTAGTTCTAGTTGTTTCAGTTCGTCTTCTAGAATACTGTTCGGGATGCTGGGGTAGATGTTTGATATTACTAGTCTCCTTGCTGGCGTAATAAGTGTTCGAATTTCTATCTCATTTCCTTGGATGACTACAGTTTTATAGTAAGGTATCTACTATGCTAGAATTGTTCAAGTAAATGCAAACTCGGTTGTTCGCTATTCGTGATGCAAAAATAACATTTTTTGGTGTGAGTAGAGATCCTATGGCTAGTATGTATTCATGTATTTTAATATCTTGGATAGCTGATAGAATAATGGCTTGTTCTTTTGAAGGAAAATTGAAGTTGCTTACTGCATTGGAATATGTCGATATTGATGATGTAGTAGGTATGCTAATATTTTCAGAATCATCCATTTTTAATTTTTGTTTTCTTCATTTGATATAATTTTCGAAAGCCGGTCCTGTATCGGCTAATTATTTCGACTTATCGAAGTTGCCAAAAACCAGAAACCGGATTAATTGATGTGTTGTATTGAATTATGGGTTATGTATAATATTTACTAATATTGAATTTGTAGTAAATTGGTAATGTACTCACAGTTTGTTTTTTTGTGTAAAGAAACTTTGTTGTTTAAATACACTATTTAGCTAACAATATTTTACGTTTCTTGATTATAAACCGCTAAAAAGTTAGTTTTAATAAGAGCAGATTTAAATCGGCACTTTATCAACTAAGCGCAGGGTTGGACTTGATGAAGACATTTCTTTGCAATAATCATCTCAGTTTAGAACTGAGACAAAGAATGGTTAATTGCTATATTTGGACTGTGTACTTTTGTATGGAACAGAAGTCTGGACACGTATCTAGTATGAACAGAACTGAAGCATTAGAAATATTAGAAATGTGGATTCATAGATGGTTGCTGAAGATACCGTGGACAGCAAGCAAAACTAACGAGGAAGTACTAACGAGGGTCAACAAAGATAGAGAATTGCTAAAGAGTGTTACCGAACACCGAAAAATGTCTTATCTGGGCATACAGTGAGGGAAAATCTATAAAGAATAATACAACTGATCATTAAACGTAAAATAGAAGGCCGTAGAGGTGTAGGAAGAAAATAGGTTGCTTGCTTATAAAACGTTCGTAAATGTACTCAGATATCAAGTGCATGTCGTATTTTCGAATTCATTCGAGCATATTTCGCTTACGAAATTAGAATAAATTGTTATTTATATACAATATTTTTACATTGAACTTTGTTTTTAATAGCAGGTTTAAATAATTTTTTAATAAAAAGAAATATACTTTATGCCCTTTCTTCTTCTTAGAGTGCCGTCTCCCTACGGAGGTTGGCAATCATAATGGCTATTTTTATTTTAGAACTTGGATCTCTAAACAAATCAATCGATCTGCATTGGTACCAATCACATAGATTCTTTAACCATGAGTTCTGCCTTCGGCCAACAGATCTTCCTTGAATCTTTCCCTGTACTACGAGTCTCAAAATTTCATATTTTGGTCCCCTCATCACGTGGCCTAGGTATTCCAGTTTTTTGGTTTGTATAGTGGTGATTAGTTCTGTTTCTTTACCAACCCTCTCCAGTACTTCTTTATTTGTAATTCTATCAGTCCATGATATTTTCAATACTCTGCGGTATAACCAAAGTTGGAAAGGCCTTGATTCTTTTTAAATTGTACTTTTTTAATATCCAAGTCTCAGCTCAATATAATAATATTGAAAATGGCTCCCGCTTCTATATTATTGAGCGTATTTTGGAAAATTTCTTCAGGAGATAAGTTAAACAAAAGTATCGACAAAACACATTCCTGTCTAACTTCTCTACAGATCTTTATTTCTTCTAAGTGTTGCCCATCAATTTGAACTATAGCACTTTGATTCCAATATAATGTTTGCACTATATTTATGATTTTACTGTCAATGCGCTTGTTCATAAGTATTGATATTAGTTTTTGTTGTGTTACTTTATCGAAAGCTTTTTCGTAGTCAACGAAGCACAAGTGCAGATTAACGTTTACATCCCAATATGTAATGTAAGCGTTGGGATGTTTAATGCCCTTGAAGAGGCTGAAATTATACCGAAACGAAGGGGCAGAGTTTACTCTCCCCTTCTTAACCCTCTAGAGGATTATTCGGATGTACAATTTCAAAAATTATACAGATTGAAAAATCCCCTCACAATATAGTTGGTAGACCTGAATAGCTCCTGTTTGTTTGGCCGACACCGAACCAACATACTTTATGCCTTTTTTTTACACCGTTCAGCTAATTTACAAGAAACGAATTGTTTTAGACTTAGACAAGGAAAGAGAGAGGACAGGTAACGCTTATTTAATAAACCTTCGAAAAGTGAAGCCGGTTTTAATGTGACCGCCATGGTGCCATTTTTGGTGCCTGTTGTTGCCCATTACTACCTTTCACAGGGATACCAGGTCTACTCATTTTTCAGTAGATCTACTGACTTCAACTTAAATTTACTGATTTACGGAAAGACTATATCGATCTACTAAAAAATATGTAATGATAACAATCATGTTCAAAAAGTGATCATTATTTCAGTCTTTAATTATAAATTTTAAGAAAAAAACTATTTATTGATATATATCCATTTATCTCAATCTACTAAAGAAATAAAATATGACCTGACAACCTTGCTGGTGTCGGTTTAGGCTTCAGTCAATTCCATACGATTACACGTCCCCTCTCTTTCCTCGTCTAAGGTTTTAGACAAAATTACCATAAAATAGGTTAAGTAAAACTGTCAATTATTCTTCTCTTTTATTTGAGTTTGGTTTGCTCGAATTTGCAGTGTTGTCGTTGCAAATTATTCTCGTATACGTATAACATTTCGAAGAACGTTCAAAAATACACATTTACATTCGATTGAGTTTGAAAATACGACCCCAGAACAAGTATTCCATGTGGCAGCAGATCGGGAAGCCTTTGCAATGGTAGTAGTGATCCCAACGGTGGATAATTCTAATATGGCACGTGAAGAAAAAGAAGGAGTCAAATAACAAGTCATATTGTTTTATAACAAATATTTTATTATTCGTCATTATAATATTATAATAATAAGTTACTAATAAACATCCAACATAACTAACACATGAGGTATAGACACCGAAAACAATATAAATATAAAAATTACATCGAGAGTACTTTATAAATAGTGACTAGTGGTTGTTTGTTCAACAAATTTTCCCTAGAAAACCAAATCATTTTATCGTATCTGTGAATACACATAGAGGAAGAATGTATTTTTTAATAACATATATTTATTATTACTGCTTTGAAATATATCTGTTTAAAACTATAAATTTATGAAATAAAACTAACGGCAGTCGTGCACAAAGCATATAAAACATTTGATGTCAATGTCATTTTGCTATAAAATTTTTATTAGCAGTTAAAATTAACATTTAAAACAGTAACTAAAAAATATTGTTATTGTGAAACAGCAACAAACCAAGAAACCAGCTTTGGTATACTATTTTAAAACATTTAAGCTGCCAAAAATATTGTCTTCTATTCCAGAAATATTCATGACGCCATTTAATAAGAATAACCATTTAAAGTCATTTAGAAAATATAAATGGAGAAAAATATTACTACTTTCTAATCTAAAACATATCTCCTCTTTAAATTGTCTTTTCGTCCAATCCAAGACATGAGCAATTGGTCGAGGATCAGATAAAATAATTATATTATGGGTAGTAAAGGCAGGTTTTGGTAAGATTGGTGGACATTGCTTTTTGAATTTCCCAATCTTTTTATACAACGATGCCTATTATCTGCAGATGTTCTTCAAAACAAACAGCATATCACTTTAATTAGAACAATATTCGAACAGCACAATTGTTGTATCCACTGTTGACATATCCCAAAATAGTTATATCCTACCATGTAGCCCCATCTATTGTTACCAATTGTAAACAATGCGTTTTGTGTCTTAAGGTGGTTTTCCACTAAACGGCAGTTGAATTAATAGTTTTGTTTGTGATTTTTAGAAATTAAAAACAAAACAAAACTGAAACCAAACCACTCATTTTCATCGAGTGGGCTACATTTTATTCGAGTTTTGTTTTTGTTTTCGGTGCTTTTCTAATAGTTGTCATGATAAAGTCAAAGCACAGTTTTTTCTTTAATAGCCGACCAACAAATTAAAGAAGAAAACGCATAAAACTCATGGCATTATAATCAAACTACATAATATAAACACGTATATATGTATGTAAAAGATTAAATCTTTTATCAAAAGCTGCTGTCGCTTTAGTGAATTAAATGGCCAAATATATGGCCTAGGATGACAAATTCTTTAAACTTCTCGTGCTTGAATCGGTATTAATAAAGTATTATGAATCATATCAGCTTATCCCTGCCTCATCAGACAGTTGGGTTGGTACAAATTCTAATTCCGAAAGTCCAACGAATGTCTCCTAAAACTTGACCACTGCAATAGTTGGCCTACAGAGGTGCCACCTGCTTTGGCGGCCATGAACGAAAAAATCTTTTTTGTCCTCTGGGCTATACGAAATGTATAAAAGAATAAATCTTTTAGCAAAAGCTGCTATCGCTTTGTTGAATTAAATGACCAAATGTATGACCCAGGAGGACAAATTCATTAAACTTCCCGTGCTCGAATCGGTATCAATAAAGTATTATGAATCATTTCAGCATATCCCTGCCTCATCAGACACTTGGGCTGATACAAATTCAAACTTGGAAAGTTCAACAAATGTCTCTTAAAACTTGACCACTGCAATGGTTTGAGTATAGAGGTGCCACCTACTTTGGCGCCATGAACGAAAACGATTTAATAATATCGTTTTCTCTCCTCTCGGTTAACGAATTTGTTAGCCCAGAGGACGAATTTGAAAAGATTTAATCTTTTACACATAATTGTATACTTGTTAGCAACCAACTTTTATATGCTTGTTATGATAAAGGTTTCTTCTTTAAACGTTTATATGTCTTTTATAAAACGTCTAAAAATCTCAATTCAATTGTCTTCGTGGTGATACGCTATTCCAGTCAACAAAACTATATTTATGTTTGATTTTGAACAGTAAATTTGGTATAAGTAGCTTTGGTTTTTTAGAGAGAATCGTTATTGAAACATATCACATTAAGAACAAGGTGAGGATAAGTACTTAAAATATATTTACAAGCCATATTTGGGTAGCGTACTACCTTCAACTGCTCTATAACTAAGAGTACCATTTTTCTTGAGCGTTCCTTTGTGTGGATATAAATTCAAAGGTGGTAAATTGGGATGTTCTATTCTAGTTGGTGACGAGACTCTCGGTCTAGAGATAGGCAGGTGTCTTCGTAGAGTATTTAAATTTGAGCAACGCATATCAGCATTTCCTATCATCTGGTAGTGGGATGTATCGGGTTCTATGTTGGTTAGTTGGTAGCTTTCGATTAGAGGAGTGGGATCTTCGTATTCGTAATCTAGGAACCCAGAATTGTCAAAACTCGATTTTTCTATAGCTGAAAAAAAGGGGGTCTACTGGCCTAACTACTACTAACTCTACAGCTAGTGTAGGTATAGAAGATTTTTAGATGGATAACAATTTCAAATGTAGTATATTTAAAAAATTTAAAACAGTATTTCTATATTAATATAGACTTTTAAATTCGTCTGGTAAAATATTTGAAAAATAAGAAAAAATCATTTAAATTCGTAATAAAAGTTCTAAAATCTCGTATTTATACACCCATTATGAATTTAACAAAAATCGGCAACAGTCTAAATCTGTCTTTTCAAACTCTTCTGAATGGTAAATATCCTAGCATCCAGGGCCCTGATTCTAATCGAGATTTCGACTCAAAACATGTCGAAATTAATATGGCGACGTCGAAATGCGACTTTGCGAGCCTAGTGAATTTCAGCTGAACTAACCAAAGGACGTCACTACTTTTCGATTTATCGCAATTAATTTCAACTTCAAGAAAGTGGTTGACATTTCATTTCGAGTCGAAATTAATGTGCCATGACTGGCTGGACTGGGAGAAGTGAGATTAGGTTAAGTTTAGGCGGTGTTGTTTTGTTTGATTCTTGCAAGGAAAACTGAGGCAAAAAGTATTAATATGGCCGCGTTTTATGAGAAATTGTATGTGATTCGCCCATCGAGCAAAAAGATAAAAGAGGGAATCTAATCGTTATGAAAAGGAGGCCAAAAAAGTGGCCTCTGATGGCGGCATCGAGCAATAAGACAAAAGAGGGAATGTAAAGGTAGTGGGGGTAAACATATTGATAGACAGGAAGTGCTATTTTGAGAGGCCACTTTAAACAAAGAAAGAGAATCTCTTTCCTTGTTTAAGAAATCAAATTTAGTTGGGTTATGTTATTGTTGATGTTATTGTTTGTCAAAACTGTCACATGAAAGCTTATTTATATTTTCTATTGAAGTTTTTTAACAATTGTTTAACATTTTAGACTATTATCGTTATTAATTAATTAAAACTTTATTGTGTTCTAGTGTTAAAAAAAGTATTTTAATAAATAATTTTAATAAATAAATAGATAAATATATAATATAAAATATTATGTAATATAAAATAAATAAATAGATAAATTAGAACCCCTACACCACTGTACGATTATTGTCAAGTGTCATGAAATTTAAATTTGGCGCATTTGCATTTCCGGATATGTCCGCCATCAGAGGCCACTTTTTTGGTCTCCTTTTCATAACGATTAGATTCCCTCTTTTGTCTTACTGCTCGATGGATGGCGGACATATCCGGAAATGCAAAGGCGCTAAATTTAAAATTTTCGACACTTATTAACAATAGCTATAAAATATTTTTCAGACGAGAAAATATTAATGAAATATTAACGATAATAATCTAAAAAGTGACACAATTGGTAAAAAACTTCAATATAAATAAAATTTCATGTGACAGTTGGGACAAACAATAACATAACCAAACTAAATTTGATTTCTTAAACAAGGAAAGAGACTGTCTTTCCTTGTTTAAAGTGGCCTCTCAAGATAGCACTTCCTGTCTAACAATATTTTTGTCCCCACTACCTTTACATTCTCTCTTTTGTCTTTTTGCTCGATGGATTCGGCACATAATTGGTCGAAATTTTGACACCTTTAAAAATAGAACTGCAGTGCCTGGGGGACCCAAGCCAGATGCTACTGATTATTTTTTAACAAAAATTAAAGAAATAAAATGTCTCAATATTATAACTAAATTAAAAACCACAATTTTTGAAGATATTCAACAGGCTGTAATGGAAGATAGAAATAATAAATAATTTGGTTGTAATAATTTATTTGTTCTTTTTACAAATTATGTGTTTGAATTGCATGCTCTTGAAATTCTACTCTCTTATTTGGAGATATAAAATAATCTCTAAACTGATCACGAATTTTTAGAGTGGTTATGTATTGTTTTTAGTAATACATCTCCTCCTACTTTCAGTAGTTCCGATGCTATTTGATTCAATCCCTGTGCCACAAATTGGCCCATTTCTTGTACAAGAAACTGCAGCGGACACAAATTCTTGTATCGTTTCTGATATAAGAACTATACGCTTGTATGACACTATCCATTTTTTTGTTATATCAGAAATGATATAAGAAATGATACAAGAAAATGCATAGTGTTATACGGCCTTAAGAAGAATGTTACGGGATACTCAAAATCGCTTTTCATTCAGTGATGCTCAATTTAGGCAGCAATTCCGCCTTAATAAACAAGCTGCAAATTATTTGATAAGAATATTAGAACCATATTTGGAGGAGGGTGTTTATGCCTCTAGGAGACCCAAAATATTTAGGATAAGTATTACTAAGCTGCAGTAAATTTAAAAATATATTAGAATATAACCACTAGTCAAAAGCCACCATAATTTCTTTTTGGTCCACAGACAATTTAGTGCCACCATCACCGACAGCCTCTCCATCCATTTTCTTTCAATTCAAAATATAATAATTGAGAATGGCCACTAAAAATTTAACAACAAGCGTTGTGCAGCGTGCAGCCAATAAACAAGACTGCCAACCCAAATTCTGATCAGTGTCAAAATAATAAAGTAAATATCCCCACTTTTAACTAAAATCGAAATGGCGTAGTCGCTTTTAAATTTCGACATCGAAATGCAATAGAATCAGTGCCCAGATCACGATGGAGTTGGAAAATGATTCATCCCTACAGTTTCTTGACGTTATCATAAAGAAAAACCAATTGCAAGGTTTTCATCACTCTGTTTATGGAAAACCCACCTATACTAATCGTTACTTGCATGCCAACTCTCATCATTCACCTTCACAAATTAATTCAGTCATTTTTATATATACAATATTTACCCCTCAACAAAAACTTTCATCTCTTGCCCGATTAATCAAAGATAACATTCCAAATAAACAACACAGAGTTTATGAAATTCCTTGTGCAAACTGCTCCCGATCCTATATAGGCCAAACAAATCGTAGAATCAATAATAGGATTTATTAACATTCCATTTCTGTTCGCAGTTTCGATTCAATTTCAGCTCTAGGTCAACACCATTTTTATACAGGTCACAAAATTGATTTTGAAAATTTTAGAACCATAGCTCTCATCCACTTCTATAAACCAAGAATAATCCGACAAGCTATAGAAATTGTAAAAGGCCAAATTATCTCAATAAAAGAGATGACAACATACGGTTACCTTCGACATAGGAACCTCTCATAAAGAAAATATCGTCCTCTCCACCTGCCAATCAAAATCTTGTTCTCAGAAATGTTCGCGTCAACCCCCGCGCCAATCCTTACGTTTACCCCTGCGCAAACCTTCACCCAAATCACGTCACCATCGACATTATAAATGAACCTACCTCTGTTCTCAGTAGCAGTAATGGATTGGTTAGTGATCAGTGTAGTAGTGTCTGAGGGCTCAGGAGACTGATACCTCGGAAGCCCTGTAGAAGATATCAAAGACGATGCCGAAAGCTTGGTGCAATGATAATCGACGCGGTTTAACCCGGAAGACTGAGTTTAATATTAATTCTTGTAAGGATTAAAATAATCCAGACCAAGGGAGACTATCTTACCGTTAACAGGTGGTCGCTGGACAGTCGAATCTACAAAGTAAAAGTAGCAGAAATAAGCAAATTTTGACAATTTAAAGAAAAAAGATCTTACTTTTTCGTTATTCACAAAAAGAGATTATTCACAAAAAATAAGTGTTTATTTATTATATGAATTTGTTTACTTTGTGTGTCCCAGAAAGTTACAAGTAAAAAATAATTAATCTCGTAAGTAGATTGACAGCTTGACCTTAACTATGTTTATTAAAGTGCAATAAAATAAATAAAGAGATATATGCAATTATATTTTTTAATGTATTACTTTTTTACTGTATTACTATATATGTTACATAAACATTTATAAATAATATATTTCTTAATACATCTAAAAAGAGTCTTAATCTTAACAATAATAATTACAGTGGGAAACAAAAAAAATTGTACGTACACCTTAGACAATCAAGATAAGGAGAGCACATAGTTACTTTACTCCTAGAGAGTCACAAAAACTACAGGAATCACAAAGAACAACGACGGATGAATACGAACATATAAAAAACTGCATGAAAGACGCAACGCTAGAAGCCTTAGGGTCACAGGTACGGAGAGTAGATAAACCGTATTGGTGGGATAAAGAAGTGGAAGAAAAGATAAAAACAAAGAAGGAAGTATATCAAAAGTTATTACAACAGGGAGACGAACAAACAAAACAACAATATAAAAACTTGAATAAAGAAGTCAAACGAGAAGTGGTTAAAAAGAAAAATAGTGCATGGGAACAAAAATGCCAATACCTAGACAACCATATAGGAGGGACAAAGAGTTCGGAAGCCTGGAGAACTATGAAAACGATGAGAACAACGACAAAAAACCAAGTCATAATAAATAAAATACCAGAGAACACATGGGTAGAGCATTTTAAGAACTTATTAACAGAGAGAAGAGAAAGGTTTAAACAGATAAATGAACAAGTGAAAGTAGAAGGAAGAATAGAAATATCAATAGAACAAGTAAAAGAAGCAGTTAAGGGAATGCAATTTAAAAAATCTCCAGGGCCAGGCGGAATACATCCAGAGTTGATTAGGTATGGATCATCAAAACTGTTTGAAATGATCCGAAAATTATTCGAAAGATGCTTAAACGGAAAAGAAATTCCACAAGAATGGAGACAATCGTATATCTCTCCAATACACAAGAAAGGCACAAAGACGGATCCTAAAAACTATAGAGGGATCGCAGTGATTGCTACTATAGGCCGACTATAATCAAAAGTACTACGAAACCTGATGGAACATGATATTAAAGACAAACAACCCAAAGAACAAGCGGGATTCAGGGCCGGACGCTCCACTATGGATAATATTTTCACATTAAAAATTGCAATGGAAAATCGAGTGCAGAGAAATAGACAAACCCATATAGCTTTAATAGATTTGGAAAAAGCATATGACAGTGAACCGATCTCCCAACTATGGATAGAAATGGGTAACTTGAAAATAAACCCAATTCTTATTAACGTCACTCAAAAATACTACGAACAAAACTTTGCAAGAATTAAAATGGGACAAGAAATCACCTCTCCTTTTCAAACAACAAAAGGCCCAAGACAAGGCTGCTGTCTGTCACCCATCTTATTTAAAATCTATTTAGACAGTCTTAGTGAAATGGGTAAAAAAATGTAGAAACATGGGAATAACGGTGGAAGAAAACACGCTATATACACTTTTCTTTGCGGGTGACCAGGTAGTAATTGCCGAAGACAGCTACGATCTTAGCTATATGGTAAGAAAACTGCAAGAAGAATATGAGGTGGCAGGTCTAAACATGAATATGACAAAATGTGAATATGTCTCAGTGGGAACAGATGAAATATGTAACCTAGTCTTGGAAGACGACAAAATCAAAGGCGTACAATCCTGCAAATATTTGGATGTCATTTTCACCAAGAAGAGAAATAGCGCAGATGAAATTAGAGAAATAATAAACAAGGGCGAGAGCACTTAAACTCTCTTCTCTGGCAAAAAACAATTCGACGAGAAACCAAAAAACACATTTACGGTAGTATACTCCAAAGTATTACACTTTATGGTTCGAAAGTATGGGACGTCACCAAAACTAATAGAAACAAACTTATGACGACAGAAATGGATTATCTGAGACGAAGCTGCGGTAGATCGAAACTGGAGAGAGTTAGAAACGAACAAATAAGAAACGAAACGAAATGAAAAAGGAACGAAATATCAATGATGACATAGAAAGAAAGCAATTAATCTGGTTCGGACATGTTAAAAAAATGCCAGAGTACAGATGGCCTAGAAGAGTACTGGAATGGATCCATCCTGCACGAAGAAAGAGAGGACGGCCACGGAGAAGTTGGCGCAACGATATTGATGAAGCAGTGGCGGCAAGAGACTTAGAAGAGGCAACTGCATATGACAGAAAAAGATGGAAATTGGGGGAGAAGAAGCGGCGACAGCCGTAATCAATCCGTTATTATAAAAAAATTGTTCTGTTAAAATACGTTTTGTAACAAACTTGGTATATTTCGTAGTCACGGACTTCCAATCAGAATTCGAAAATTTTCACTAGTTTTTTGCAATTTGATATTTTGCAACACAAAAATAACGTCAAATATTTTAGGTTGAAGCAACCTCTCGCTTAGCTGGCGCAACTATCTATTCTCATGGAACATGTTACAGATTGTTATAGGCGACATGAACTTTTTCTATCCACTACCAATATCTATCAATCGCAAATTGGACTTCAACCTCCGATACAAGATGCTTAAGTATTACGTGTGGCCAGTTCTCCTGTACGGAATGGAAGCATGGACGTTAAAGGCCAGTTCCATTAACAAACTTGAAGTGTTTGAAATGTGGTGCCTGCGTCGAATGCTCAGAATATCATGGACGGACAGGGTCAGAAATGAGGAAGTACTCAGAAGAGCGGGCTTACAGGATAGGGAACTTTTTGATTATGTAAAAAGTAAGAAGACTGCATACTTGGGGCACATTATACGAGGAGAACGATACACTTTTCAGCAACTGATACTCGAAGGGAAGATAGAGGGTAGGAGAGGTCTCGGACGTAAAAAAAATGTCATGGCTGCGCAATATTCGACAATGGACAGGAATCCACAGCGATGAAATGCTTCGCAATGCTGCTAAAAACAGAATTATTTAACCCTAGAATATTTAACATCTCACCTGACAAGACGATGTACGGTGGACGCCTACGCAGAAATGCACGGCACCTTAAGAAGAAGAAGACCAATATCTTTTCCACCACCCCGTTCCACCTGCTGTTCTATGTGCAGAGTACTTTCATGTCTTTCATCCAATAAAAAACTATCTCACTTCTGTTAGTACTTTTAGTCGCGGTACTGTCTTTGAAAAGAGTAGATAAATAGAGGTTTGTTTGATTTGTAAAAATGGCTTAATCAAGTAAATTTAGCTGTTGAAATAGTCCTGATGTATTTTGTTATATTTGTGGTCGCTACGTACGAATATAACAAAGATAAAATATTACACCCTTTGTTAAGAGTCTGAATAAACCATATTTTGAAATTTCACTAGGCGATTGTCACCTCGGGGAACTAACAAGGGTCTAACCACCTTCGGGTGCTCTGTAGGGGGCTTAGGAAATTTCGACGATAGCTCCTCTACTTAAGTCCATTTTCAGGGTGCGTTCTCTTGCAATATAATTTTAATTTCATTTTACAATAATAGTCTGGTGAACCTGCAATGAACAAACTAACATGTCAAATAAACAGATACATCTTTTTCCTTTAGATTTGAAAAAAAATGTCAAATCAAAACTAACAAAATTATTAAATTTTTCTAATACTGTCGAACAACAGAGTGTTCTTTAATCTTTAATACGTCTGTTTATAATCCTTCGACCAGTAAGTTAATTGTTTAGATATAATTAGTAACTAGAATTCCCAAAATGAGAGATCGCTGTAGAACTACCTAAGTGGTAACTACTTAAGTCATTAACAAAGGGTATGGTAACAGAAAAATTACCTGAAAATTCTATGTGATAGTGACCATATTGATGGTCAATCATTTCTATTGCGTTGGTGATTCGTGGTGATTTATTATTTTTAAGCTTTTTTATGGCTTGGGCAACCTCTTCAGTGATAGGTGGTCTTTCGTTTGGGTTGAATAGATTCCGATGATTTCGATCTGCTACGGTGTTATCTGATTTTTCGATATAATGGCCGTTAAATTTTATGTCGAAAAATTAAACACATTGTTTCAAGATTAAGGCCCTATCACTTAAAATATTTCTCTTTTCATCCTTACAGCTCCCTATTCTTGGCTTAAACTCTTTACCCATTTTGTTTACATTTCTGTAGAACTTTCAAGTTTCGTTTTGTTTTCTTAGGCATTATATGTTTTCTAACTGCTTTTATTCAAATTGCCTTTTTCTTCTTCTATGTAATCATCGTTTTGTTCCTTTGCTCATTTTATGCATCTAGCTTGATTTGTCTTTAGGTATGCGTTATTTTTGTTATCTGTACCTGAAGCCAAATGGTGTTAGAAAATTCAGTACAAGTCGATGTGATTCTAGCAGTAAAATTTAATGTTCCAACTAAAAATTAAAAACTGAACATACGCGACAAGAACAGCATATCGTTTACGTGCCAGATTTGAAAAATAACAGAAAAAACGGACTCGCTTCATTGGAATGATTTATGGACTTAAAATTGGTTTTTGAAAACTTAAATAAACATAGTTTCTCAATTTAGGTTATCCATTTAAAAAAATTCTAAAAAAATTTATGCGAATTAATTAAAGGGTATATATATTTACCTTTAGGATATGGTGGTACTGGTGGCACCACCGCTCCAATATTATCAATAGTTTCGTAATGGTCCTCGTCTCCATAGTCGATTAAATCGGGAGGATAGTTCTCTGAAATGAAATGCTGGGTACCTCTAGGGGTTAACGTAGCCCAAACCATTCGATTATCTTGTAAGTTTGTGCCGTGATATAAGACGGTGTCTGTAGGATGGATAATTTTGGTTCCATTTAGAGTAGGTACTGCAGTACACTCCCTTGGTTCGTGATTTTTCATTTGTCTATGAAGGGAACAATCGTTTCCGCCAAACATATTCATTCTAAAAAATTACAAAAAAATTGAACATACTGGGTGCAGCATTAGGAAGTACCTCTACTCATTTGTCGTAAGAGGTACGAAAAAAAATTAGTTAGGTAAAAGTTAAAGCATAAATAGGGCCATACTTTGAAAATATATTTAAATATACAGTCATCAATATTGACATGGTTAAACAAAATTATCTTTTTTTAATGACACATGCTATATGTTCATTTCTCTATGTTCTTGTTTTTGCAATATAAGATTTTGCAATATTATACGTAATGGGTAAGTTAAAAGATAACTACGTTTTTCCTATTAATTACTACCAACATTAACACACTGTAGAATTGTAGAGATATAACATTAAAAAAAGATCTATTTATGTTCAAAAGATTTTTAATATAGTCTGATATGAAAATTATTAACGTAGCCAAATATTTAATTTTAATATACAGGATTCGTACAGCAAATATAAGAGTGGAGCAGGAAGACCTGAACATCATCGGAGTATACGGCCCAGAAAATAACAGGCCGCAAACAACAAGAGAAACGTTTTATGACCAATTATAACAAGTAGTAGATCAAGTCATAGGAAAGATGATAATATTGTGGGATTTTAACGTTCGCATAGGCGATCATGTAATACTCGGAATTAGGAAAAAACATAACAGAGATGTTAAAAACAAAAATGGAGAATTGGTGCTAAATTTCTACACGAATAACAAACATACAATAAACAACACTTTTTTGATCATAAAGACCAACACAAATATACATTTAATAACACCCGTGGGCAAAAATCTATGATAGATTATGTTATAACTAACAGAAATATACATCCATCGAAAACAATCGACGTAAGATGCTTCAACTCAGCAGATGTAGGTATCGACCATAGCCTAGTATTATATAAAATAAGAATCATCCTGAAATACTTCACACCCAAGAGAGCGGCGCCAACACAAACAAAAATCAAAGTCGAAGGACTAAATACGGAATCCACGGAATACTTATACAGAAAAAGGATATCAGAGAAGATCGCTGGGAATGAAATATTAGATCATCGAGGAAAGCTGAGAAAAACTCAAAAAGAACAGAATTAACGCAGCAACAGAATCACTTGGAGGGAAAAAAGTAACAAACACTAATATATCAAAAAAGAAAACACCATGGTTTAGAGAAAAAGTGAAGACAAAATGTGAAGAAAAGAAGAAAACCTTTTTATAATACAGAACACAACAGGCATATACTACCACTATAAACGAATCAGAAATGAGACGAATACTTTAGTTAGACAAATAAAAAGGGAACACTGGCAGAGCTTCTCAAAACAGATGGAACACGACTTTTACGAAACACAAAAATAAATATGGAGAATGATCAGAGGACAAAGAAAAGAGATAAACGGACTAATAAAAATGAAACAGATTCAGAAGGAAACATGGGTAGATTACTTGCAATCTCTATTTGTTAAAGGTGGCGATAATGAACCACCAGCTTCGGAGGTAACGACAAACGAAGAAATAAATATGGAGGAGGAAGAGGTAAAGGAAGCATTAAGGAAATTAAAAAGTTAAAAATCACCAGGAGATGACAGAATACCGAACGAACTCTTAAAGTACGGAGGACCAGATCTGACAACACAATTATTAAAAATAATAAAATAAATAAAATAATAGAACAAAACACAATTCCTCAAGAGTGGAGATCAAGTATCCTAATAACTCTCTTCAAAAAGGGACACAAATCGGATTCGGAAAATTACAGAGGAATTAATTTATTAAACACAACACTAAAATTAACAACCAAAGTGATAACCAAATAACCTGAATGAAATTATAACACTAGTAGAAGAACAACAAGGTTTCAGCTCAGGAACATCATGCATCGATGCTATATTTATAATCAAGAGTCAAGTGCAAGAAAAATCATTAGAATACAACAAACCGGCATATCTATGTTTCGTAGACCTTAAGAAGGCTGTTGACCAGGTAAAATTAAAGGACGTTATCCACTTGTACGCAAGAGAGATACCTTTACGAATAATCAAAACGATCGACAATATTTACCAAAATAACACAATAAAAGTAAAAGTGGAAGACGCTATTAAAGCTGGAAATGGAATAAGACAGAGAGATTCTCTGAGTCTTCTATTGTTCAACCTGATTATGGATGAACTAAAAAAGAAGCAAGAACTAAAAAAGGGTACCAAATGGAAGAAAAACAACTTAAAATAATCTGCTATGCAAACGACGCAATACTACTCTATCAATTCAAACTACTCTTTAAAGTGAAGACGATGTACAACGTATGCTTCTTCTTTAAGTTCCATCTTCTATCGAAGGTTGGAAATCATCAGGGCTCGCAGGACTCTGTTGACCGACGCTCTACAAAGTTCTGCTCTACTGCATTCAAACCATTTCCTTAAGTTCTTAAGCCAGAATATTCTTCGTCTTCCCACATTTCGCTTTCCTCGGATTTTGCCTTGCATAATAAGTTGTAATAATGCGTATTTTTGCCCTCTCATCATATGTCCTAAGTACTCAAGTTTTCGTCTTTTAATAGTTAATATTATTTCCGCCTCATTTCCTATCCTTCTAGTTACTTCCATGTTTGACATTCTTTGAATCCATGATATTCGTAGGATTCTTCTGTAACACCAAAATTAAAAAGCGGCCAACCTTTTCACATGGACTTGTTTTAATGTCCACGCTTCCAAGCCATAAAGATGAGTAGATAACACGTAACATCGAAGAATTCTCAGCATTAAACTAACATGTTAATTTCCTCCAAAAAGATAAAATGCATGGTTAAAACATCACATTACCTAGCTACGGAAAGCTTAAAACTGAAGTGGAAGATCAAGTGAATAGAGCAAACAGAGGCTGCCTAAATGAGAGTGACATAGAAGACAAAAAGGATGTTAGAAACAGCAGAGATGAAAACACGCAGAGAAAAATTCATGACAAGACACTATGGGACAGAGCTAAAGTACAGATATATGACGCAGATGCAAGGTGGAGAACATCAAGAACTGAGTAAGAAATATAAAACTAAAATGGAACGATCATATAAGCCGAATAACAACAAATATAGTAGTAAAGCCGGCAAGAGAGGGTTTCCCAATAGGAAGACGATCAGTAGAAAGACCATGAAAACTATGAAAAGAAGAAGAAGAATTGGTTGAAATTTGGAATGATATTTTCTGAGTTTTGTTCTTAAATGGAACACCCTGTATTTGAGTATTGTAATAAAATGTTATTTTACGATAGTTTATTACTTCTTAAATATTCCCTCTACATATTACTTTAATTTGTGAGTTGTTCGTGATTATTGATCTGATCCCTAATTTGTTAATATTGGATATCAAAATACCTAGGTATTAAAGATTGCTGGTATGTAAAATATTAGTAAAAACACACAGTATTCCGTCTAGTTGGCTATGACTTTGATACGAAACTTGCTTAAAAGTTTGACATTAGACACATCTACAGTTCTTGTTGCTATGTTACTGTTACTTACATGAATTTTCCTAAAAAAAACTGATTGACAAGATTTTTGTGATGGGAATGTGTAACAAAAATTGGAAAAATGTCTACATAAACGTAAAAGATAAATAAATTAGTGTCGGGCAGAGAGTCGTTCCAAAGAGTAAGGAAACATTGGGAACTCTTTTTTTTTCTCATATTGTTCATTACTTTTTCAGATTATTAAACTTTCGGATTTCTCTTCAAATAATACTATGTATCAAATTAAGCCTTGGCCATTCCAACATTGGCCCTAGTTCTGTCTTCTTTACTCTCAGATCTTTCCGTGCTATCCATCTTGATTTTCTTGACTGCATTTTACTGTATAGAGCTCTTCAAAGTCATCGCCGTATTTGGTTGTGTCTAGATCGCCATATGATATGTTTGTTGATTGATCCAAAAATACTTCTTTAGCCATATACTGTGTGTACCCAGTATAGCCAGCATAACATATTGCTGGGTACTGTCATATTCAGATACATACATATAATAACTAAATATGTACATATAAAGTGCGTTATGTATAGAATCTACGGAAACATGTGTTGACGCTGCTACTTTCTTGATGGATACTGTTGACTCCATAGCAAAAATTCCAATTACTTAATATCTGTGTGGTTTTGTATGGAACTCTTTTTCCCTCACGCTTTTTATTCAAGACATAATCTGTTTTCAAACATTTTCATATCAGAATTACATTAAAACATTGTAATGATCGACTTGTTTTTCTGGGTTTCTTTCAATAAATAAAGTAGCTGTTTTTCTAGCACTTTCATCACATTTTCTGCAAAGAAAAATAATTGCGGTCATTTCAGGTAATATATACACCATTTTTATTAATTTTCAATACCAGTGACATCTGTTAAAGATCAAAAATTAACTATTAAAGAACACAAAACTGAATCCTATTATTGAAATTCTTACTATGACTATTTTAATTACTTCTAATTATTTTAATTACTTTTAATTAATTTTAATTGCCATTGTTTTTTTCCCTGTATTATGACTTTGTGAATTGTCAACATAATACGGAAGCATATAAAAAGTTTAAAGATAATCAATTTAAAATAATGATTAAATGACAGTTGAGGTTGGAATCTAATGCAAAAAATATGACTTAATACATATTCCTCACACCGCACCGTTTAAATGAGACATGATTTGATTGCAAACGCCGTTTGAAAAAAAAATAATAAGGGGTATCTCCCGTAGAGAGGGGGCTCAAGTTAAATGTTGACAAGTTTCGACATTTCTTGCTACGTCGCATTTCTGGAATATTGAGGGTAGATCCTTTTTAAATGAATACATAGTTTAACTTTTATGATTTAAAATAATCTAAGCAATTCTAATAGGAAATCATGTATTAACTGTATCCATTTTTTGCTTTTTAACTTATTTTATATATGTCGTTTTGTTAAGAAAACTGTTTGTGTTATATTCATATACATTATAACCATGGATTATATCGTTCTGGAGGACGCCATTATACACTTTTATGTGTAATTGACTTAACATGTGTATGTTTCGACTGCGATTTCAATCGCCTAATAATCATATTTGATGTTGATCCTAAGACCAAAAAGATAAAATTAATTTTAAAAATAATATAAATACTTGATAAATAATTGATGGATTTATATAAACTAAAATTGACTTAACATGTGTATGTTTCGACTGCGATTTCAATCGCCTAATAATCATATTTGATGTTGATCCTAAGACCAAAAAGATAAAATTAATTTTAAAAATAATATAAATACTTGATAAATAATTGATGGATTTATATAAACTTTTTGGATTTAAAAATTATCAGACTTCAAAACAAACATGACTTCTCCATATTTCATAAACCTACCCATACTGACACAACTATACACTATTCATCATCCCATCCAACACAACATAAACTGGCAGCCTATCATAGTATGTTACATAGATTAACAGAAATTCCGATGTCAAAATACAACTTTGAGGCAGAATTAAATATCATCAAGCAAATAGCAGTAAACAACGGATATAATGAACAAACATTTAATAAAATGTTAAATCAAAAACTACACAAGAAATCCCTGAAATTAGTATTTCCACCACCAGAGAAAAAACCCAGTACCTACTGTTCGATTACATGTACAGGCAAAATTACAACAAAAATAGCCAAACACATAATAGACAAACAGATTCTACATACGCACTTCACCTTTTAGATAACGAATTTAAAATTCTTAACATTCAAAATAAAGGCCTTAAGCTATCCTTGTTGGAATCTATGGAAATCAACAAATTAAAAAACACAAATATAATTCTGAATGACCAAAGACACAAACAGTTCTCCCCTCCTCAACGTATTTCGTTAGAGACTATAAAATTTAAACGCATGCCAAAAATAGATCACTTGAGAAAAGCAGTCAGCCAAAACAGCTGTAGTGATAAGTTCAAATAAATTTGTTGGAAGTTTGAAAACAAAGTTTTAGTGTTTTATTGTTACATAATATAAATACGGTAAATATTATCCAGTTTTGTGTCCAGTGCATTTTTAAATATTATCCAGCTTTGCATCCGATAGTTATATTTTCTTCAATATTTGTTTATTTGTTTTATTTATTTATTTTTCATATTTTTTAATAATTTTTATCTTTTTAAATTTTTTTTATTTGATTTTTATATTTAAGAATGTATAAATCTAATTCTACAGATAATTCTGATTGCACCTTTTGTTGCAATAAACTTAAACAACTATGGTTCGGTAGAAATTTTACTATTATTGTATACTTACTCCCTGCATTTTAAGAGAAACATTGCTAGCAAAGCTCCTAATAATAGGACTCCAATTGACGAGGCAACCAAAACTAAGAGCCATGTGTCTCCAATTCCGGACCAGGTTTCAACATCTATAAGAAAAATTGTAATTTGAGTTTTATTAAAAAACATGTATATGTAGGTACATTCTAGATATACCGCTAAATGGACTGACAGGCCTCACTCGTCCGTTTATGTAACTTTTGTTAATATACACAAATGTACCAAAGGCAGAAGAATCTTTAAAAAACATTTTGGACTTGACATTGTTAAACCACACATAGCAGCACAGGCTTTATATCCAGTAATCAGAGATTTGACTCCTAAAAATCATACGAACAAGTTAAATTTTGCCGAGAATATAAAATTTGGGACCCCAAAAAGTTGGAAAAAAAATTTACCACTTTTACCCCTGTGTTTCCCCCTAAAATCCCCCACGTAGAGAAAAACTCAAAAAAATCGATTTACCACGAACCTGTATGTCGTAGAAAAAAATATTTCAAATAAAAAATGTAGCTGAGATGATTTTGAACATCAATATTAATTGGCACTTTTTCCGTAGAATGAACGGTTCTCTCAGAAATAACCTTGAAACGACCGGTGGTTTAGAATGTCACCTGCGCGCGCGAAATCTATGTTGAATAAAATGTGTATCAAGTCGATGGTAAAAATTCGATATATTTCATATATATTTCGATATATATCAGAATATCCTAACGACAAAAATCAAAATGCGTTTTAAAGGTGAAAAGTAAATAATATATCGACAAATAAACTGAGTTTTTATAAAGGCGTTAAATACGTGGAACGATTTTTGCCATGTTTTACAGTTTTCGTGAGATCAATAAAATGTATCAGTAGTAATATCCCTAGGACATTGATAACAGACGAGATAATTTTATGACAATCGAAAGCTCGTTCCTTAGTACCAGCACGAACCCGAAGGCTGAGTGCTGTTACCAAGCAACGAACTTAAGAAATTTGTCATGAAATTATGAGGCATTCATCAATGTCCGAGGGATATTCGGCGGATAATTTTTCGAAAAAAAAATCATAACGAAACATTTATTTATTAAAAGTACAGTTAGTGAAAGTACAATTATTAAAATTTAAGTTAACATTAGATTCGTTGCTGTTCTCTACTATAGAAGATCTATTACCACGCATAATATTTATAATCTTGTGGTGTTCTTGATCGAGATTCAAGTATGGTTTTATAGAAACGTGACATTTTGAAATTTATTTGGATGAAGTTGTCAAACTCGATCGTGTTGTCATAGGGATTGAAAATTGCACTGAATGCAATTATCAGTCTAATGTTGACATGATTGGGTGAAATTGTTCCACATGACACAAAATGACGAAATTTGAATGGTTGTTGGAACAGTCGAAAAATTATCACTTTAATTGACCGGTCATAGTGAAATTTCGATTTTTAAAGACCAGTCTTCCAGGATTGGATAATATTAAATACTCTATGATTCAGTTTCTTCCAAAAATTAGTAAACTATTTTTATTGGATATATTCAACGACATAATAATCAATAATTCAGTAGTTATTCATGAATTTAAAGATGTAATTATTATTTCTATTCTCAAACCAGGCAAAATTCCAATTTATCCGAGTTATACAGACCCATTTTCCTGAAGTCTTGTTTACTAAAAACATCAACGGATGATCAAACATAGACTGGAATGGTGGTTAAATAAGAAGAAATTACTTATAGACCTTCAATTTGGATACAAAAAAGGATGTGGTACTATAGATGCTCTTGCTACGTTAGTGACGGACATTCAGGATACATTTTCCAATAAAACATACCTACCTACAATATGTTTGGACACAGAAGGTTTATAATAGCGTTTGTCTGGACATCCTTATGGAAAAAATGATTAGAAATTTTCATATACCAGCTACATTAGTGAAAACCATTCTCAACTTTTACACTTGCAGAAAAATTTATTTGAGATCAAATAACAATAAACTTATAGGTCCTCGATATAACAACATAGGACTTCCACAAGAGTCAGTTTTGAGCCCTTTATTATTTAATCTATATACATCTGATGTGCACAATGTCTCACTAGTAAATAACAGTTTTAATATAATACAATATTCTGATGATTTTCTTATATATTCATCTTCCAAAACATACGAGAAGTGCATACACATTTTGGGAAAAATGGACCACTACTCCAATAGCTGGTTTAAAGAAAATAGGTTCGACATAGCACCAAGTAAATCTAGTATATTTATTTTCACGAGGCATAATCTCCCAAAAATAGACAAGTTAATAGTGAACAGTCGGCAATATAATTTCTGTTCTTCAATTCAATACTTAGGGATGATTCTTGACCGTAAATTAACTTGGAAGTTACACATTGACTTCATGTTAAATAGATGTAATAAGGGATTAAATTTCCTTAAAGCAATTTCTAAAACTTGGTGGAGAGCCGATGTAGAAACTGCCTTACTTTTTTATCGATCATACATAAGATCAATCATAGATTATGGATGTATTTTGTATGGTTTAGCAGCTGAGTATATCTTGGGGAAAATAGACGAAATAAGAGAAAATAGTGTTTAAAAACACAATATTACGTATTTGCCTAGGTATTATGAAATCAACTCCAACCAATTCGTTATATGTTAAAGCACTAGAATTTTCACTCAAATATAGAAGAGAATATCTTAGTAAAAAATTTCTAATTAATATTCGTCATAGGAACCTCTCTCTTTACTGCAGTATTGGCAAACTTTATAATGCAGATTTAACAAATAAATATTGGATCCACAAAAATTCTCCTGCACTTTGTGACGCTTTTAGAAATCTCTCAAATTGCGATTACACCAACTAATATACATATGATAATTCAAACTTTAAAGAATTTTATGCTTTTTTGCAAACTATTACGGTAATTAAACCAAAGTACCATGTACATAGTGCATTCAGCTACAATATTTTAAGGAATTTAATAGAAAATAGGAGAGCATCAACAGTTATTTATACAGACGCATCAAAGTCTTCTCTTGGCACTTAATGTGTTTTTTATATTCCTTCAAAAAGTATAGAAAAACATATTTACTCTAGATCATAATTTTTCAATTTTTACTACTGAAGCCATAGCAATTTATGAAGCATTAAAGTATTTTAAGAATTCCAACAACAACTCCGCAATAATTGCATCTGATTCTTTGTCGGTCCTTATAGCCATTGAGACTATATCTTTTCCTAGCAAAAGCACATCCTTCTAATAAAAAAAATTATTTTTGAATTACATCAAGAACAAAGAACAGTTAGATTTTTGTGGATTAAAGCTCACATATGGCTTGAGCATAATGAGTATGTAGATATATTAGCTAAGAAAGCCATTGATTCTGGTGCGAAAACAGATTATAAGCTCGGCATATCAGATGTATTTATAACAATCAAGAATATTGTAAACAATCAGTGGAAACAAGAATGTATGAATATATTCAACACTCTAAATCACAATATGCACTCATACAACCCTCAATCCCGAGTGAATTTTGGTTTAAAAATTACTCTGTTCCACGTAGATACATTACATCTATTATCAGAATGAAATCAGGACACACATATTATCCGATTCATCTGGCAAAACTTAAAATTGTAAATTCCAATTTATGCGAAGTCAAAAAGAAGCAGATTTAAACATTATATTCTTTGAATGTACAAAATATATCCAACAAACTGACGACTTAATAAAAAATTTATTCTAATATAAAATCCTTCCACCCTATAACATTTGGTACCTGTTGTCATTAAATAACAAAAGTGTATATAAATACTTAACAGAATTTATTTCGAAAAGTAACCTCAATTTGTAAGTCCAGTTAAAAAATAGTAACCTTTATTTATCCCACTTGTTTTAAACCTACTATCCGTGACCCGGCCTAGTTTGTGTTTTAATTTAATGCCTTGATGGGTCCCTAGACGAGAAGCGAGTGAACGGTGAGTTGTGGCAACAAATATGAGGCATTTGAAATATGATAAAAAATGCAGAATTTATACTTTTATATTATAAACAATCGAACGTCACAGGAAATACCTCCAAGAAGATGACTTTCAGCGTAATTTGTAGTAGTAGATGGGTAATTTTAAAAAATGTACTAGTACAATTGAAAAAGAACAGTTTTAAATATTTGAGATCGTTTGTAATGTGAAAGTTTAAATTCAGCATTTTTTATGCATATTTCAAATGCCTCACATTTGTTGCTAAAACGCAAAGCTAAAATTTTATGTTATAAGTTTTAAAGATTAGATACATATTTACATAAGATAGATTATTTACAAAAATCGCTCCACGTATTTCACGCCTTTATAAAAGTTTATTTGTGGAAAAATACAAAAATTGCGTACAAAAGCTGCACTCTTTACCTGTAATCCGCATCTCGATTTTTGTCGATAGGATACTTGGATCAAAAGATATAGAATTTTTAAAGTCAAGCTGATACAAATTTAACTGAACAATAATCTAGCGCGCGTAACTGGACATTAAAAATTGCCGATCGCTTCAATGGTTGTTTCTGAGAGAACAGTTCATTCTACACAAAAAATGATAATGAACATATTTGTTCAAAATTACTTAGCTACATTTTTTATTTGAAATATTTTTGGTAAATTGATTGGTAAAGTTTAACGAATGATGAACGTGCTATTTCAATACGTGCCTTAATTTCTTTGGTTTGGTCATTTGATGTTATTCATGTTACTAAGTATTTGTACCCACACTATAAATTATAGTATCCTCAATAATCAATTGGATGTTTGTCTGCTGATTTAGTTATGATCATGCATTTAGTTTTATTCAAATTCATCCTTAATCCATATTCATGACAGCATTCATTAAGTTGTTGCATTATGTTCTGTATGTTATTCAAAACTTCTCCATTGATAGATATACCTTCTATTGAATCTGAGAGCGCTTCTTTAATTACCGCTTGACTGTAGACATTGAAGAGTAGTGGCGGCAGCACGTAACTCTGGCGGATTTCTCTCTATATTTTGATATCTCGGGTGTTCTGGTTGTCAACTGTTACCTTGGCAGTTTGATTCCAATAGAGATT